TCTTAGTTTCCTTCTAGGTTTTTGGGTGCTGTTTGGCGACGGGGGGGGGGGCATTTTGCACTTTAACGACTTCCCATCGACGTGTCGACCCATCTAGACAGCCTCTTCTCGAGTTGACAGGTTTTACCATGATGGCTTGACGAGCTTGCTCCAGCTTCACAAGAGTTCACAGGTTTCACCAGAGTGAGACTTGTAAACCAGAACTAGTGAAGCAACGAAAGTGCAAAATGCCCCCCCCGTCGGCAAATTGCGCCAGTTTTTGCCTGGAAAACGTCCTGCTTATGTGGAAACCGAGCCGTCACCCTACAGTTGCCCTTCGTGGAAAAAAATGGAATCACATGAGAGAAAGGCTGACAATACCATGGGCATTTTAGCAGCTATTCAATAAAAAAATCGGGCGATTCATCAAAATCCAGACATATACGGTGGTTACTATTTAACTCGAAGACCCCAATATTTTACGCGACATGCGGACCGCCGTACTGCTGCACATTTCAGGTCATTGTCAACCGATTTTTGACTCAAACGTAATTCTTCAGTCAATTTATCATTCTTTGTCTTGCGAATCGCCTGCTCCGCAACCACAAGGAATACAGGGACGTCTCCGGACGACCATTAAAATGTGGCGTCGTAGGTTAGGACTCCCGCACGAGAGGTCACGGGCTGGCCACTGTCCTCGCCCTCGCCCCGCGAACGCCGCGCCCTTGCACTCGATTTTACGCTACGAGAGCAACATGGTCGTTGCGAGTGAAGACTCGCGGCTGCTTATACAATAGTTCATGGGCCATCACGCGCAAAGTGCTGCTTGCATCTTTCCAACCAGGAATATTCAATGGGACGACAGTATTTTTGAATGGCAGCTGTACTTATTCGACGGGTTGCTGTATTTCTTCAATGGGACCTACTTTTACCGTCTGGCCGAGAATCTTAAACCTTACAATATCTTACAATTGAGGCCAAAAGAAGGATTTACCATGAAAAGAATTTTCGTGGATTGCTGATGTATGCTCTAAATATTATTTCTATGTTAATGAGCGTGTGTTTTACAGTCGTCATCCTCGGCGCACTGAGTAGAACAATCGAGACCGCGTTACGCGGGGTGAATGATGTCGGAACCGGCGCTTCAGTGAGTAGCAATGTCGGCGGCGCGGGCCAGCGCTACTATGCGTCCTGCCCACTCCCTCACGCGCTCGACTACGCGCGCAGGCTAGTTTTGCATTTCTCCTGCGCGCCTGCACGACTGACGGCTATGACGGCTTGGCCGCGGCGAGTCAGGTTTGCTGATTCCGAACTCGACGAAGCCCGATTTTTCTTCAAAAATCGTCTTATTTCGGCCGGTTTTCGGGAAGGTAAGTTACTTTTCTTTCTTTACTTGATAAATTGTATTAGTATCTTGCTTTTTTTGTTGATTTGGTGTAGTTTTTGCTGTTTTAAATGCTTTTTTCACTATTGTTTTTATGTTTTCAGGTTTCGTCTGTTTTTTCCCCCATTTCGTCGGTCGGCCCCCTGGGGCCTTTGGCGGTTCTTTTTCGATATACTCCGGTTGGTTGTCCGACGGATGTGATTCCTGTCTTTTGCTGAGAACAACTCAGCTCTGCACGGTTGTGAAAGAATGACTGAGAGCCGCTTTTACAAACCCGTGTTCTTCAAAGGCTGCCCGTAAAAATTGGGCCGGGCTGGTGGAATGTATTTCAATTTAAAATTTTTGTTGTATTCTTTTTTTTGTAATGGTATGTATTCTTCATGTACTAATTTCCCATTGTTGTGTTGTAGGTAGCGAAGAAGGCCATTGAGGGCGGGGGTGCAACGCTTTGGCATGGGTTTGGAGCGCTTGTGATTTTAGGAAGATAAGATGAGCTTTTTTTGTCAATGAAGTTTGCTAGTGCCCGTGTATTTGAGGCGTCGTGAGTGTTTTCGCTGCGGAGGAGGGCAATAGAATCGTTGTATACAAATCATAAGTGAGTACGCCACACTTTGTGCCCCTTCGGGGTCCCGTAAGCAAATCCAGTGGGTAGTGTTCTAAGAATCATAGTATATCGAAGGTCAAACCAGCCGTGTCGAATCCGTTGGGTGGAGCGTGGGTCTTGGTTGCATTGATACGCGTAGAATGGCTCAGTTAAGAAAACCTCTTCATAGCATTTTCTGATAATGGCTAGCCTGGGGGTGTTGAACCTTTCAGAGAGCACTGCTGAAAAAATGCAAAAGAGCACGTCCACCAAGGATTCGAACCTTTGACCTCGTATACTATATTCTGTAACACTACCCACTATGCTACCGAGGCACAACGTGTGGCGACTCACTTCTGATTTGTATACCACGTCTATTGCCCTCCGTGAGCGAAACACTCACCGACCGCCTTAAATAACGGGCACCCGAACGCCGCCTTAATAACGGGCACATAGCTACAACTCATGAAACAGCTCATTTTAACAAAAACACGAAGTCCAAAACCATGCCAAAGTGTGTTTCCTTCCGCGGTAACCCAAGAACACAACAAAATGGTATTAGTAAAATGAAGAATACATCATACAAAGAAAGAATAAACAAAAAATAAATTGAAATACTCACCAGCCGGCAATTTTACGGGCAGCTTGAAGAACACGGGTGTAAAAGCGGCTCTAGTCTTCAAAACCGTGTCAGAGAGTGTTCTCAGCAAAGACAGGAACACATCAGTGACACAGTAATGAAAAAGAAGCCAAATAGGGGGAAGAAATGGGGAAAAAACAGACGAAACATGAAAATGCAAAAACAATAGCGAAAAAAGCATTTAAAACAACAAAAATTATTCGACGCAGAACCAACAAAAGAGCAAGACACTAATACAATTTATCAAGAAAAGAAAAAAAGTAACACACCTTCTCGAAAGCCGGCCGAAAATAAGACGATTTTTGGAGAAAAATCGGCTTCGTCGAGTCGATAATCAGCTGATCGCCGCGCCAGCCGTCAATGGGCAGGCGGCAGAGTACTATGCGGCGCGTGTCGAGCGCGTAGGGAGTGAGAGGACGCATAGTAGCTGGCCCCGCGCCGCCGACAGTTTGCTTAACTTCTGCGCGGGTCAGTGATTCAACTCCGCGTCCGCGTCTCCGATTGTTCTTATCAGCGCCGCGGGATGCACGACTGAATACCTAGTATTGAATATCGGGGCCGCATGTCCTTTTCATAGCGCTTCACATGTGCAAGTATAAAGGGCAGACGTTGGAATCCATTACATACGCCAAATGCAAAAAACTACCATCCGCGGGAATGGCAACAGACATCGCGGAGTCAGCCAACTCGTCGGAGCGCTCTCCGCGGGCCGCGGCCGCTGCAGGCTGACCCGTCTGGGTCGTTTGAGTCCGTGTACACCGAAATTCCCCCACAAAATGTTTGACGAACACTTAGAACATTAAAAAAAAGAGGCAAAGTTAAATCAATTAAAATAACGCGCATCAAAATTAAATGGTGTGCCGTTCACAGGGTCAATGGCGCAATGTGTGTCCTGCAGTCCGACGTAATAAAGACACAATCTGTGCTTCGTGGGCCACGCAGCAAGCAAGGGTTCATAACATGAAGATAATTGAAGTTTGCTCATTGAACTTTTACCGTCAAGATGGCTGCGAATGAGCCACGTTTTGGCAACTGTATTGCGCGAGCATAAACGCGAAGCGGAAGGCAAAGAGATCCTCGTCAGCCGTCATCATCGAAAGACGCGCGGAGACCAGGGCAATGTCCCGTCCGCCGCGAAAATCAACGCCCCTCCCCCTGTCGGGTGGGACAGGGAAGGGGTCCCTTCGTTTTATCAGTTATCAGGAATAGGAAAATTGTGGGCAACCGATTAGAGACTAGAACTGTACGTAAAGAGTGTGAAGCGGGGAAATTCATGCAATTATCGGAAAATTGATCACTGGAGGACCATATTGACACGGGGGTTTTTTGTGATTTTTCATTTTTCCCGTTTTACTATACCTCTCGCCATAATACATCCCTCCCACTCGACAGTGACACACTACGCACATTTCTGACATTTGATCAGTGGTGGCCAACAATCCCTCCCCCCGCTCGACGGCACGGCAATTTCCTTGAAAATTATGGTAAGACGATCAGGTTCAAGGTTGCATTTAGCGTAAATTCTCCCCAGGTAGGTCCCTTAGTTTACACAGGGTACAGCATCGTGATGTGTGAAATGGTGCTGTAGGTACGACCCCCCCCCCCTGAATGAGGGTCTCGGTACGACCCTCCCCCTTCCCCAGCACCTACCTTCATCCCACATTTTCCAGTTTTTCCACCCAAAAAAGTGGGTATATAGCCAATGTGAAACTGGAAAATTTCTTAGATTTTCTCAACATCCTGACACATTTTTCGGAATTTCCCGAGAATTTCCCTACTTTTCCTTGGAAAGTAGGCTGTCGAGCGGGGTAGGGAGGGTATATGAAACACATGAAAAGTTAACAACCGAGAAAATGTTCTCCCAACGCGGCGAATTTCTCTCAAGCCACATACGACCCCCCCCCTCCCAACAACGACCAAATACGACCCCCCTCCCAGCGGAAAAGTACGACCCCCATGTGTTTCAAACAGCGATGCTGTACCTTGGTTTTACAACCTGCCTAACGAGTGAAATTAGGTCCCAAGCTGGGTTCAGCTCGCGGCTGGGGCTGCGTTCAAACTTCGCGATGACCCGCTACCCTCGTAATAGCGCTCTAGTGCTGTAGACAGAACGCAGCTCTACACAGCTATCGACCTGGCGTCAGGTGGCGGTGCCATTCGCGCCAGGGCGGTAGCGCGATCACGCGCTCCATCGCGAAATATGAACCTGCCTAACTTTCCTAAGGAACTTCTTCGGTGAAAATTCTATTGTTTTCAGGATGTTCAAATGACGTCACGCTTTCTAACCCACAAGTGGTTGGCGTACGGCCAAACGAAGTAGGAGCGGTTCTGAGAGATGGTCATACCTACTATGCTACCGAGTTCGACCTTGGCTACAGTATTCTTGTGGTGCGTGCCTATTTTTGAAACACACTATGGATCACCAAGCTCGCCAATTCCAGTTTCCATCTGCTCGTGCTCTCAACAACTCAGAGCCAAAGACGATAGTCACGTTACCGTATCCGTTCCATGGGACTGATAATACCGTACACAACAAGACCGTTTACTACAGTTATGACAGTGCTCTGATCTCATTCAGTATGAAAAATGGAGACATGAAAGAATTACGGCTGAACGCTTCATTGGTGAGTGTCCGGATGGCCAGAGTAAAGGAGAGCGCCGGATCGGACCGGGTCACGCCCTTTTTCTGCCGTCTGCGCCCTCTCGGCGAGAAGTCACCGAAGTGCTGAGTTGAAGTCGGCGAAGGTAGAGACGAGCACAAATTGGGCTGACTCGTTCTCGCCCGTTGCCCCCTCCAATATCCTGACACCTAAGAAAGACGCCCAATTCGTGCGTCCAACGTCATTGGAATAATGATCGTTTCAGGGGATTCTGTATAACAACTCTACCTCCCGCATGAACATACAAGCCGACGAGCACGGGCTGTGGATACTGTATCGAGAAATTGGTGAGACGTTCCTGACAGCCACTCGGATCGAGCCAAAAAGTTTGAAGGTTCGCTTACACCCTAGCTAGGAAAAAAGGCAAACCATTGGCAATATTGCAGTGTAATTGCAGCATTTCTCATGCATTTAGATAGTATCCGTTCGGACGTTACTGGCTATCACGCCCGAACGGCTTTGTAATGCATTCGTCCGTTGCGGGACACTGTATACCGTAACATGTGACGTCGACCATGTGACAGTGGCCGCAGCTTACGACTTTCACACACATATGTACGTCAACGGCAAGCAGAGCGAGTGGATAGGTACAGAAATCTACCTTTCAGTTATGAATCTTAGGAAATGACGCTCTTTAAATGAGGGCAGAGATATTTGGACAAAAAGGGAGGGTCAAAAGGAAGGGCGAAGCGGACCTCTCTCTGTCCTCGAAAAACGCGCGCACATAAGTAAGGCTGCGTTTATACTTTGCGGCAGCGTAGCGTAGCGCTTCCAGCGTACGCCAGCGGCAGTGTCGGGGAAAGGATAGATATCGATCTAGCGTTCCCAGCGTCACCAGCGTACGCTAGCGTGCCGCTAGCGCACGCTGGCGTAGCGAGGGCACGGGAAGCATAGCTATCGATCTAGCTTCACCAGCGTTTCTCCAGCGTTTTCCCAGCGCTTGCAGCGACGGGGCTGAGACGCTGGTGAAGCTAGATCGATAGCTATGCTTCCCGTGCCCTCGCTACGCCAGCGTGCGCTAGCGTGCCGCTGGCGTGCGCTAGCGTGCACGCTAGCGTGACGCTGGGACTAGCGAACGCGAGCAATCGACATCTATCCTTTCCCCGACACTGCCGCTGCTGGAAGCGCTACGCTACGCTGCCGCAAAGTATAAACGCAGCCCAAGAGAGTGTGCCTAGTTTCGTATCCGACAGACGTCTCCCTATTATGTATCTTTAACTACAGGGTAGACGGGTATCGATCGAGGATGCTATGACGCTCGCAGACGACTAGAGTATTTCCCAGCTATACTCTATATCCAGGAGATGGAGGGGGCGTGGCTGAGTGCTTCATTTGAACCGTGATGGTTACGTTTCTGGTGGGATATCTTGGTACAAATATGGAGTGCTCAGCCTGGGGTGTCAGTTGTCGCGAGGGGAAATATCACTCAAGAAAAAAAACATCCCGGGCTATATTAGAAAGAAAAGCGAAGTCATGCCTCCTTTCACTTAGAACATGAAGTGTAGCTGACCTCGCAGCCAGCACAACACAACACTGAACGATTAGTTGGGTCCTGGTGCGAATGCAGCGAGCGTGACCCCGTGTATGTCGTTCGGCGCGGCCGGATTGCCATTGGGGCGCATCGGCAGTAATTGACACCCTCAGTCCGCTGATGCGATGCGTGTCGTGTACAGGGCAACTCGTCCACGTTTGTTAATAACTTGATCGGCTACTTGATCGACCTACGCTGGCACTGCGCCAACATAGACGACCGATTGCGTGCGAATCTGTTTCACAAATCTAGTTTGTTTCACAAATTTATGTCTACTAAAAAACTTACCGAAGTTACCACTCGAAGTACCATTCATTGTCTACTGAAAGCTGCTTCGAAGTAAGATATATCAGAACTCAAAAGTGCTCCCGATATAACCACTTCTAAGTAGCTATAAGTAAGGGATGTCGAGGCGAAAGAGGGCAAAAAATCGCTCAAAAACGGACGAAAATGGTTGAGTAGGAGATTCGGACGCAATCGGTCGTCTATGTTGGCGCACTGCCAACGTAGGTGGATCAAGACGTCAACCAAGACATTAATAAACGTGGACGAGTTGTCCGACCCACGAAACGCGTCGCATCGGCAGGGTGGTGGGTGGCAATTACAGCCGATGCGCCCCAATGGCAATCCGGCCGCGCCGAACGACCGGCTCCCCTTTAGTCTTATCAGCCTGTGAG